AGTTGGGCCCCTGGAGAGAGGGAGCCCCTGATAAGTGTAGAGAAGACTAAATATGAGAGGAAACCTTTGAAATTGAGTTGATTTTTTTTATTTGTTGGCCTTAGTGGGTGGCAGAGCTGAATTGGGATTTGGAGCATGGGACAGCGGGGCTGGGCAGGCCTATACCACTCGCAAAAGGCCAGGGCCTCCCACTCAGGACTTAGGCCCAAATTACTTTCCCTAAAGAGGTTTCCAGAGGCTTTTCTGGCTGGCTGGTGGAAGGCCAGGGTGGCATCCAGCTCAACCTTTCCCTGGCCCCAGCCCCAGCCCCACATGGGGTTTCTGGGTCTCTCAGTCCCCCAGGCATCAAAGCCTGTCCCCTGGCCCAAGCACCGCTGACCAAGTGGGGACTTGGGTGGCTGAGAGGGGCTGCTGGTGAGCATCCTGCTTTCCCTTCCCTACACCCCAGATCTATCAAGAATGGTCTAGGGTGTGCCCGGTGATGGGAGAGGCAGGCCCCCAGAGAAAAGACGAGTGGAAGGGCAGTGGAGTAGGGGAGACATTTATTTGACTTCAAGGAAAGCTACAAACAAATACCAAAAGCGAATCACTGAGACAGGCCCGGCAAAGACAGATTTCACACGGAGCACAGCATCCACTCGCTCACTACAAATGGTCTTGGAAGCGAAATGGGTAGGGGGGAGAGGATGGGTCTGACCCAGACCATCCCCATATGTACAAGCTTTGGGCCCTCTACGCCAGACCCATGGATTCACAGAGAAATACACAAGACATTTTACACTGAGGATTATTTTTGTTTCCGTACACTCCCAGACCAGGCCTTGTGGGGCCTACCCAGGCAGCAGGAACTTAAATCTCACTATTTTACCTTCCCTCTTCTCAGCATCACTCCTTTGGTCCTCCCTGGCCCCTTTCCACTCCGGAACCAAGCCACCGGGAGACTTGGGCCTGGAGAGCATGGAGGGAGGAGGAAGAGGAGGGTGGAAAGAGACACAGTCATGGACTCCACCTCCGAGGCCAGCTCAGCTGGCCCCGGCTCTGCGGTACTACCCCGCCTCAATTGCGGCCCCTTAGAGAAGTTTCGAGCTGAAACTCAAAATACAGCGATCATCCTTTTATAAATAAGTTAGAACACAGATGGGGAGGAGGAAGTTCACATTAAACATGCGAGTTTCTTTTTTTCCTGGGGGAAGGAGTGCAACCACAGACACGCACATTCAGAAACACTGGCGGATTTGGGGTGAGCGGAGGGGAGTGGGGAGCATGGAGGGAAAATAATTATCATTATTATTAACAATAATAACAAGATTAACCAGTCCAGGAGAGAGGGAGCCACAGGAGGACCTAAGACCAAACGAAAAATCTTAACACAAGGCCGGGGTGAGGCAGGCTCGTGGGAACCGGTCCCCAGCGGGCAGCGGCAGCGCAGGGAGGATTGGAGGGGCCGGGCTGGGGGGCGGCACGGGCTCTTGGGCCGCCCAGGGCTCCTCCCGGCAGGCTCATGGCTGGAAGGCGCTGCCGGCTGTAGCCAGGCTCATACTTTTCAGTTTGTTGTCTTTCTTCCACTTCATGCGCCGGTTCTGGAACCAGATCTTGATCTGGCGCTCGGACAGGCAGAGCGCGTGGGCGATCTCGATGCGCCGCCGCCGCGTCAGGTAGCGGTTGAAGTGGAACTCCTTCTCCAGCTCCAGGGTCTGGTAGCGGGTGTACGCGGTCCGGGCCCTTTTCCCATCGGGCCCGGTCATATCTGGAGCAGACAGAGCAGAGCCGCGAGGCAACGTTATTTCGGTTAAGGGAGGGGGCACTGGGTGGGAGGGGGGCGTGGAGCAGGACCCAGGCGTCCCCAGCACCCAGCTCACCGCAGCTCCAATCCTCCCCACTCCAGACGCCCGCATTCAAGCTCGCTTTCTGCACCCCCTTCTCCTGCAGCCCCCACTTCTGCCGGCAGCGAATGCGCCCGGCTTTGTCTCGTGCGCCCTCCCTGTGCCTCACCCTTCGCTGGGCTCAGGCGGCCGCTCGCCCCGAGAGGGAGGAGAGTGGCTGCACTTTTGCCCTGGAAAGCTCGTTTTACTGCTCGCTCCTCCTTTTGCTACCGGCAGTCTAAAAATTTCGGGGGTAAGCAGGAACCTTCCCCACGTTACATAAACCCCATCCTTCATCCTAAAGCTAGGACAGCTGGGCGAATAAAAGCTAAGCGGAATCTGGGAAAAAATTATTGAAAATACTCCTCCCCAACCCCCCAGCTAAAGACCTCTGGCTCTGTCCCCCGGGCTGTGAGGACCCTCTTAGAGACTTCTCCCTCTCTGGAAAAAATAAATCTGTATTTGAGGAAAAGCCAAACTCTCCTCGCCCCCCCCACCCCCCCACCCCAAACGCAGAGAAGGCAAGCCCAGAAGACAAAAAAAGGGAGCCAGAGGCGAGAATTACCATGGCTGATGTGAAGCTTCCTCATCCAGGGGAATATCTGCGGAGTCTGCCCCTCGGGCGCGGCTGTGGAGGTGGCCATGGGCTCTGGCTGTGCCCGAGCTAGGCTCGGGCTGCTTAGCTGGCTCGCCGCTTCCTCAGGCTCCGAGGACGCGCTGGCCTCGTCTATTTCGGTGAAATTGGCGCTGGAGCTGGCCGGGGTCGCCTGGTCGGAGGGGGACGAAGCAGAGGGTTTGGCGCCGTGGCTGTCGCCGTTGGTGCAGGGCAAGGACTCGGGCGAGGACAGGGAGCAGCTCGACGCCGCTTGCCTGAAGCGGGGCTCCTGGGCAGGCGCGGGGAAGGCGCGCGAGCTCTCGCCCACCGCCCCAAAGTGGCTGGAAGAGGCCGAGGAGCGGTTGACGCTGAGGTCCATCCCATTGTAATTGTAGCCGTAAGAGCCGGTGTGCATGGCAGCGGGATCCCTGTAAGAGCCGCTCAGAGAGCTGCCACTGCCATAATTTAGCAACTGATAGTCCGGGCCATTTGGATAACGCCCCGAGAAGGAGTTTACAAAGTACGAGCTCATTTGGGTGATTTTGGAGGGCTTGATTTGTGGATCGTGGTCGTTATAACCCTGTGCTTCACGATTTATGATGTATTAATGAATTATAGCGATGCACTGTACTTCGTTTTGCTATGTATGCGGCCAAATATGGGGGGGGTGTTGGAAGGGGGGTGGGGGGGCGTTAGGGAATCACGTGCTTTTGTTGACCAGTCGTAAATTCTCGCTGATGACCTCAAGAGGTAATTCATGCTCTATGGTTACAAATAATGACGATCCGAGAATCGTTAGGGCCGATTCAATGCGAGCCTCCGAGAGAGGGGGAAAAAAGGAGAAGGGGGAGAAACAGGGAGAAGGTTGGCGGCGGCCTCTGAGCAGAGCGCGCCACCTCCCGGCGATTGGCGGGAGCGCGGGCCGCAGACCGCCATGGCGGCGACGGCTGCCTCCCTGTTAGCTCTCTGCAACCGCCGGGCGAGAAAGAAACCCGGCCTAGGCTCACACGCAGGGTTGAGCCTTTTAGAGGAGGGACCCGCTTGAGCCTTTACCCACTTTCTTTGGAGTGGAGTTAGTCTATTTGTGTCCTTCTCCTTGTCATTATTTTAACTCTGGATGAGATGATCAAAGATTGAGTTGCTTTTCCCTTACTCGGGCTTTGTAAGTCTCCGAGTTGGGGGCGGAAATGAGGGGGAGGGTTGGAAGATGTGTGTGAAAAACAATTATGGCAACGGGGTTCCCCCGCGAGCTTGGCCTGGCTGGCTTCCTGACGGGGCTGCAGTGGCCCATCCACGGCGTCCAGGCCGAGCTGGCACGGCTGGGCCGAGGTTGGAAGGAGAAGCTTTCACTTCTGGGCCCCATAGAAGTTTGGAATCCTCTTCCTGACCTCCTCCCCGTCCTTAGCCAGGCCCCGGGAATGACAGAGCAGGACAAGGACCCCAGAGGATAAGCAGCGCTGCGGCTAAGCGGCCTAGTTCAGGGAAAAACGGCGGCGGCGACCGCGTCGGCGGCTGGGGTTTGGATGGAAACGTGGTTCTGAGGGTTGAGATCAAGGCAGGACCCTTTCCCCTCCTCGCCAGATGCCTTCTATTGCATTGGGAGGCCCCACTCGAGACCCCTCGCTGGCGGCTGGGTAGTTTCAGGATTTTCCCGGCGGCCCACGCCTTCCAGGGAAGGGGTTCCGAAGACCGGCGGCGCCTTGCTGAGCGCGCTGGGCGGCCAGAGACCGCTGCAGCTGGGCCCCTTCTGCCGGGCAGCTATTTTCTTTAAAAATAAAAAAGGGAGAGAGGGAGGAGGAAGAAAGGAAAACAGTGTCCGCAGCACGCCGCCTGCGTGAGGGTGGGGGTGGGGAGAGAATGGGTCGTTTTTGGTTGAGGGGATGACCAAACCGCCTCATCACCTGGCCTCCTGCCTTCAGGTCTCCAAGGAGCAGGAGAAAGTCGTGCCCTTCGCCCTGCGCCCGCCGGAGGCTTCGCATTCCCCTACTTGTCGCTGAGCTCCTGCTAGAGGCGGGAAGGGGCGCCTGGAGCCTCCAGCTGCAGGCAAAGAGATACCCGGTGGCCCCACTTGAGTCTCCGGAGCCACAGGCCCGGAGCCGAGGGCCACGGCCGGCGGAGATGAGGCCATGTGAGCAGGCCAAAGGCCGTGGGCCTTGGTGAGCATGAGGACAGAAAAGCGCTGCTGAGGCGAATACCCGCCTGGCTCAGTCTCTGCAGGGGCTCCGGGCTAGGGGGCCTAGGTGGTGGCCCTCGTGCCACGGACAAACGAGGAAAAGCTAGAGAATAAGAGGGAATGGCCCTTCTCCGTCCCCCAAGTCTGCACCAGGAGAGGCCAGTCTGAGCCGAAGCACCGGGGCGAGGCGCGGCGCTGGGGCCCTGGCCGGACCGCTCCAGCCTTTATCTCAACTGTAGCTTCCGAGTCGTGTCGGGACCGCTGGGCCGACCAGGGCTCCTGCCTTTGCTGCAGAGTTTCCGGCACGGGGACGATGGGGTGGTGTGGGGGCGGGGGAGTGGTGGGGGAGGAGCAGAGGTGACTGAGCCGCGAGTTTTTACGTCTTTATTATTATTATCATTATTAATAATATTAATATTATTACCGAAGTATTTCACGTCCAGAGCTAAGACAAGACTACAAACACAACACATAGAAAATTAATAAAATAGAACTTTGTTTTCTTCTGAGGCTCCTCTTCTTACTTCTAGGTAGTATGTGCTCCTTCCAGTGGCTTTGGGGAGGGGGTGGGAGAGAGGTCTGGGGTCAGGGAGTCTTCGAGGCCCCCGCTGAGGGGACTGTGAATCTACCATTGAACCGTGCACGGGGTACATGGACGAAATGAGACGCGACACGGACAAGAGTATTTTGCTCTGCTTCCAGGAAACATCAAGTGAGTTCGGTCCTCAGTTCTCACGGGGAGTCTGATCGGGCGGAGGCGGGTTCCGCGGGGATGGAGGGGGTGAGCCGGGTGCTGGGTGGGCTCAGGCGCACCGCCTCCCAGCCCCCAGCGAGAGCTCTGCGGGCGGGGGCGTCCAGGAGAGCGCTGGGCCCCGCCTGACATGCGCTGGAGAGCAGGTCCCCGGGCTCCCCCACCCGCAGAGCCTTCTCCGGGCTCTCCGATGCCCTCGGCTCCCCACAGGCCTCTCCCTTTCGCGTCCCCCCTCCCTTTCCAGCGCCTTCACTCGGCTGGTTTTTCTTCCTCCTCCTCGGCACTGAGCTGAGATGCGCTGAGCAGTTTGCTCTCCTTTTTCCACTTCATGCGCCGGTTCTGGAACCAGATCTTGATCTGCCGCTCAGTCAGGCACAGGGCGTGCGCGATCTCGATGCGCCGCCGCCGCGTCAGGTAGCGATTGTAGTGAAACTCTTTCTCCAGCTCCAGCGTCTGGTAGCGCGTGTAGGTCTGGCGGCCACGCCGGCCGCTGGGCCCAAAGGAGGAACCTGTTACGCAGAGAGGAGATGCTGAGGCCTGGGGTCACCAGGGCCAGAGCCCCCCACCCGCACTCAACCCTCAAACACGGACGCTAGCCTGTCTCGGGATGCCCTCCACTGTCTGGTTCCCTGCCCCCCGTCCTCACTCCTCCAGCGCCCCCTCCAGATTCCCTCCGGGTCTCCTAGGCCTGCGCATCCAGTCTAGGCTCTCGATGGGGGGATGGGAGGAGCAGTTTAAAATCCCACCTGAGCCTGGGGGAGGGGCTGGGGAAGTACTGGCCAGGTGTGTCTCTTCCCAGCCGCATCCTTTTTTTCCATCCATCTGGCTCCCCCACTACCCTGTGATAGATTCCGGCCCTTAATCCGTAATGACGTGGATCGATCCGTAGTCGGCATTAACGGCTCTTCACTTTGGTGTCCCTCTAATGGACATCAATTTGGGACTTCAGGCCGACAAATAATCCAACTTGAGACTCAGGCGCCTGCTGCTTCCTCTCTCCCCCTCCGCCTGCTCCCTCTCTCTTTCTTCCCCTTATTCTGCCTCCCTCCTCTGACTACCACCCTTTTCCTGGTGCCTCATCTTTCCCCAGCCCCCGACCCCCAGGGAAACACAGTCCGGGACAGACTCAACTCTCCCTCGCCAGCGTCACGCCGCCCCCTTCCCATGACGCACTCCGGTTTTAATGGAACAGTCTTTGGGTGGGGGACCCGACTAGGGCTGGGGGCGCAAGGGAAAGCCAAGCCCGTGACGGCAGCCCCTGCCCCCTTCCCTGACCCGGAATCCCGCTCTGGTCTGACGCTCCCAGAGAGCCCACTCGCTCCCCCTGGCTCCGAGTGCAGCTAGGACTTTGCAAACTTTGTAACTCCTGAAGGCGAGAGGACAGAGCAGGAGACCCTGTGCAGGCACCCAGTCTTCGCTTGGCTCCTAACTGAGATGCCCACCCAGCACCCTGGGGGAGAAGGCGGGGCGAGGGACATCCCTAGCCCTGTCTCCCGGAGGTGGAGACCCGCGGGGGTCTGGGCGACGGCGGGAAGTCTCACTCACTGTTGCACGAATTCATCCGCTGCATCCACGGGTAGACCGGAGTGGAGCACTTCTGCTCCTCGGTCTCGCCGAACACGCTCTTGTCCTGCGCACAGTCGGACTTCCGCGGCTCGGGGTGGAACGGGGGCGGCTCGTCGGCGCCCGAGAGCGCGCAGGCCGACTCCTTCTCGCGGTAGAAGGCCGGCGCCGGCCCGTAGTCGCAGGGCGCCGCTCGGCCGTAGCCGCCGCCAGCCGGCGGGTAATAGGAGGAAGCGGCAAAGCCCTTGTCCTGGCCGGGCCCGGGCCCGTAGGGCGCGGGGTAGTGCCTCAGCGGGTCCGCATAGCCCGACGAGTAGAGCGGTAGCTGGCCCAGGAAGGACTCCTGCCCGCTGGCCAGAGTGACGGGGAAGGTGGAGTTCACGAAATAGGAACTCATTGGGAGGGGAGGCGCGCACGGCCGCTGCTGCTCCGCCGGGTTTATGATTTGTTGTGTTTTATAGTCCGAGCGCCGCGCCTATTAGTAGTATATCTGAGATTGGGTTTTAGCTGAGGGGGGATGGCGAGGTGCCAGTGAGGGCCAGAAGGAAATACAACCATCTGATCCAACACTGACCAATGGCAGAGGCAGGAATTGTCAAATAGCACCCAGGAGGAGCGCAGCCCGCACGAGGGACCCGCGCACAAACCTATCAACCTTTTTTTTCCTCCTTCTTCTCCTTCTCCTTTCTCTTTCTCCCCAACAACACGACGCTTCCTGTTCCACCTACGTAGGATCTGCGAAAGAGGCGTCTGTGCCTTTGAGGGAGGAGGAAGCATTTGGATGGAGACCACCCCATCCCCCAGTGATTAAATAAATATATCCCTCCCCTCCCCACGCAGGATAGGAAAAAGTTAATTGTGTTTTCAGAAAAGTTAACCCCTGCGTTGCTTGAGCCCCATTCCCTCAAAGGAAGGGTGAGTAAATGTCACCGAATCTCGAATCTCAGTCTCATTAAGAGAGGACTAAAGGAGAAGGTTTATTTCTCCGGTTTTGTGTTGGTAGAGGGAAGAAGAGTTCTCCGCTAATTGGCATCGTTTTCAGAAAGAGAAAGCCAAAGAAGAAACACTCTTTCTCAGGTTTTGAAAACCGTTTTTCTTGATTGTCAGACCTGCTCTGTCTCCTCCAAGCTGGGGTTTATTATTCCTGCTTCTCCACAACTCTTAGGGTCTGAGGGGCAGGCCAGAGCCTGCTGCCCAGAGGACCCAAGGCCCGGAAATGAAAAGAAGGTCTGAGCCCCAGCTTCTCCCTCTGGCTCTGCAGCTAGGCTAGGAGCTTCCTGGAAGACTAAGGCTGCCGCTGCCCGAGACACCCTGCCTGGCTCTAGTATGTACCGCTTGCTTCTGGCACGGGAAGGGGCACTGGGGAAAGGGACTAACTGTCTCCTCACTGGGGGATATGGAAAGGAGGAGTGAGGGGCATCCCCCAGCCTAGGTTTGTCTCATCCCTATCCTGTCTGCAACCCCCACTCGACCCCCCGCCTCCTACCCCAAAAGACATGAGTATCCTGGGCTACAGATTCACAGAAATCAAGGTTGTCTCAGTAAGTGGGTCCAGGGAAGAAATTGTTCCTCCAATTTGGGGTCCTCAAACCCTCCTGATATTTGAGGCAATGAGAGACCACCGAAAAGAGAGGTGTTCGCACTCCTTTTCCAGGTCTCTCCAGAAGCTGGCAGTTTTTAGAATTAATTTTCCACGATTTGATGTTGGTTTAGTCTTATAAGGAGGGAGGGATGTTTGGGTCCTCCTGGGGACTCAGCAGGCAGCATCCCCTATCAGCCTGCATCCCCTCTCCAGATGCTCACCACCCTTCTGGCTGTCTCTCAGCATCTCTACAATCCCTCCCACACCCCTTGTTTGTATCACCAGCTTTGCTTCGGTACAAGCTTGGGTGTGAGAGTGTATGTCTCTGGAGCTCTCTCTCCAGCACTGACTCTCTCTCATCTAAGGAAATCGAGTATTGAAGCCCGGCTGGAAGACTGACCCACAATGTGTATTCAACATTCTCATATGCACGTTGAGGCCAGGCAGTAAAGAGTGACAACCTTCGGACTTGGAGCCAGGAATGGTCCAGGGTGTGGGACAAAGTCTGATGATGAAAGGGTTAGGCTGACTCTCTGTCTTTGGGCTCCTTTTTGTGGGCCACCTCTGTCCACTGAACACAGCACAAGACACTAGGGAAAGTGGTGGAGGGCTGAGACTGGTGACCAAGGGTGGAAACTTGCAAAGTGGCCTACAAGGCTCGCTGAACTCAGGACAACTTCTAGGCTGCAACTTCATGGCCAGGTGGCGATCCCTGGATATCCCATCGACCACTTCCTAGCCTGATTCTATGGGGGGTTTTAATCAAGATTTAGGAAAATAAACCTCGAGACTCCTAATGATGGAAAATCATGAATGCTCCAATCTAACAGATTGGGCTCACTCCTATAGAGGAATGGGGAATATTTGGGCAGGGGAGTAAGGTGGGGAGAGTGCCTATGTGCACCTCCCTTCTCTCTGCCACTGAGGATGAGCCTCGGGCCTCAGCCCTCCTTGCCTCCTCCCTGGCCACAGTGTCCCCATCCTAGGACTGGACCATGTGGGCTTTGCTGTGGAGTCTAGATGAAGTAAGATGCGGTGAGGGAGGGAGCCTTCCTCTGTGATAGAAGGACAAAAATACTCACCTTATCCTTAGAGTCACCACACCAAATTAACCTCACCTCTGCAGGTTGCCTGTCTTAAGACAGAGCCGAAAAGGCAGGGCCTGGGCGCCTGGAGTCCGGCATGAAAGGAAATAGCGCCTCATCGCTCTTATCTAAGCCCAGAGGTATTTATGAGCGTTTATTCGTCTGATCCGTTTGTTTGGGAGAAAGAGCAGGCAGGCGGGGCCCGGACAGAGGCCGCCTGGTTTCTGGAGCCAGATCTCTACGAATCTGTCTGTGGTTCCGTCCACTGCCGTCTGTCTGTCTCCAGGGGGGAATATGTAAATACACAGCAGGCACAGCCGTCTGTCGGTCTGGGGGCTCTCTCCCTGCCTCAATGAGGAAGTGTGTATGGAGAGGTGGATATAAATGTGTGCTGAGTCTTGAGTACACAAGAGAAGGATTGTACAGAAACCCCACAGGCAGGATTTATAATTGTAATTTTCTGTACTTCGGGTCTGCGGTCCTGTGATGTACACACATCCCAGCTCCCAGGGAAATGTCCAAGTTGTATCAGCTCAGGAGTAGAACTTTCCTGTGCGGCTAACCTCAAGGAGGGATCTCTCCCTGTATGTTTATGGAGGGGAGAGGGATTGAGACATTTTCCAGGCATCCCATTTCCTCCCAGCTACAAAGCTCCCCCCACCCCCAGCTCTTTGGGTTAAGGGCAACTTCCCCTTCCTCACTCCCAACTCTGACTGGGGTGGGGCAAATTAAAACATCTCAACCTAATTCTTCCCCTGGACTCTGTGATTCTCTGGGTTTGGGGAACATAATATTCCCAGAGGGAGCAGTGTGGCCGCTCCCAACCTTTGGGAGCTGTTTAGGTGGGACATTGGCTTGAAATTGTCCGGTCCAAAGCTCCTCACAAAGACCTCATTTCCATTATGCAAATGAATGGCATAGTCTCTGATCTTGAGGGGGGAGTGGCCGGTGGCGCGGCTTCCTCTCCCGGTTCCCTCCCCCAGGTCCACGGGCACCCTAAGCGCCCTGAAGTATTTCAACCCTTTCTACCAGCCGCCTTCCCCTCCCTACCTGTCCTTCGGATTGACCACAAGAAAAAAATCTCCGAGGGGCCCAAGACTTTCGGGGCGCGCTCCCTGGGGACCTCCCGCACTGGGCCGGGCTTTCAAGCCGCCAGAAAGTCACTCGCTGCCGAAAAGCTGAAAGGGCTGCTTCTGCGGCCCAGACTCAGGAGGCGCCGAAGGCGCGGGGGCAGACGCCGCCGCATTTGCCCCCAGCACCGCCGGGCCCCTCGACCTCCGCAGCTCCTCCAGCTCCGGGCCAGATCCTAGTAACACCTCGGCTTGCCTGGCACCGCAGGCAATTTCCTGGAGCCCCCGCCCAGGAACCGGGGCCACAGCACCTTGAAAGGAGCGGCCAGAGCTTCCTCCTGTGGCTTGAAAGCCCGAGCTAATCAGTAACCCGTGAGACAGGGGCCAATATTCAAACGCGGCGGCAGAGGCGCGCACCCCGCCCTCGCCACCCCCTTCTGGGAAAGCGGTCGGGTTAAGCTGGTGTGAGGGGTCCGGCAGGAACTGAAATAACAATGGTTTGGTTTCCTAATGATTGATCTCCACTCCTACTCCCAATTTTTTCCCAAAGCATATTTGTGTCGATTTTGCTTGAAACGATCGGGAATGGGGGATGGGATCCACACTCACTTGCAGACACCCACAGTTTCCAGAAAGCTCGGCTCGATTCCTTCATCGCGGACTCACCGGCCAAGGAACTGGCAAGACCCACCAGCCAACCCGGAGAACACAGACCCGGTTTGTCTTTTGACAACCGAGTGGAACTGCTGAGGCCGGCGCCTCCCCTACTGGCCCCCTCCCATGGCCGAGAAGAAAACCAAATAAACCTTGAACAGCCTTGGCCTCGGATCTCCCCAGCGGCCCGGATGATCCTCTCTCGCGCCTGGGGTGCGGGGGAGGAAGGGCTCACGGCTCTGATCCCCCATCCCTTTGATTCAGGGCCCCCTGCCCGCGGGATGCAGTCTTAGTCCTCTTTAAATACGCCCTGGAAAAAGCCGCTTCCTCAGCCAGCCGCCAGGTTGGGAGCAGGGATGAGGAGGCCGAGGGAGAGGGGACACTTGTTCTCTAATCCACACACGGGCGGTCGGGAACCAAGATCCAGCGGAAAGCGACCATCTGGGCCTGAAATCCCTAGAATAGCCGGCCAAACCTGACCGGCCCGGGCGCCAGGCGTCGGGCACGGTTCGGGCAGCGTCGTGGGGCTCGCGGCGCCGAAGCCGCATGTCTCCGAACGGACGGTAGATGGCAGCAAACCGCATAATTTGGGTCAGAGCAAACTAAGGGATGATTTATACCCCGCCAAGACTACAGGAGAAAAAGACCTTTAGTCTGGGTGGGTTTGGGGAATTTTCCCTTTGAGAATGGGCTCCGAGTGCCGTGGGTGCTGGCCGAGAAGTTCTCTTGCTACGCAGCCAAGGGGTCCCTCCAGGCACCCAGTTCGGGCCTGCTTGGAGGGCATCTACCTGTGCCTCCAAGAGCCCCCTCCCGCGCCACAAGTGGCTGCGTCCCTCTCTTCCCAGCTCAGGACTGAGAGAGCCAACATCCCCAAACACACCCCAGACCCCGCAATCCCTGGGCAACCAGAAGCCCGAGGCTGAATGCTCTACATCCGGTCTTCAAAAAGAGAAAAGCAATCATCTATTGGCCTAACCCAAACTAAATCAGTCTCTCCTGCCCTCCGCGCCCAAGGTCGCTGATTTCTCGGCTGGAAGCTTCCCCAGAAGCCCTCTCACTCTATTTTTAAGTCTTCACCTAGCGGCTTGCGCCTCCTTCCACCCCATCAGTTACTTTAGGAATCTGTCTCCCTCCCAAAACGGTTCTTCTCCTCCTCCCCCCCAGGAGGTCTGGCTGGGGAATGAAATCAGGCGCCGGAGGGACAGGACTAGCTGTCTGAGCCCAGCGCCAGGCAGCTTTCCAGTCCGGACACCATCAGGTCCCTTAACTGGGTTTTTTAAAATTTCTTTTTGTTTTTGTTTTTGTTTACAAGCCTAAAACAACAACATTCTAAACAGCTTCTTCACAATCACCACATTTGGATCCAGGAAAGTTTGAAACGATTTCACATCAGACACACACACGGCATTTTCTCCTCCACCGAAATCCACACACCCCATACCAATAAAACGCAAGTAACAATCAATATTGCACAGAAACCAACACGTTGTAACCTACCGCGTTAAAACCACAAAATTGTCTCCCTGCAGAGCGGAGCTTCCTCAGGCGCAAGTGGTGAGAGACCTGAGCATTCTCAGGCAGGCTTCCCGGGGGGTCTTCCTCGATTTGGGTGCCTCCACCCACAGCCCTTTAATTTCAGAAATGTCTCCTCCGAAGGGAGATAATGAGCATTTCTCTGTGAATTGTTGTTTCTGTGTCTCTCTAGCTGCCTCCTCGCCCTCACCAGCCTCTGCAGAGATTCTAGGCCCTCCAGAGACCAGGACTCCCTCAGCGCCACCGCCCCTCGTGCCAGTGCTGCCGGGAAATCGCCGATACCCTCACCCGGCAAGAGAACTGCGCGGGGCACCTGGGGGCGGCCGGGATAAGGGAGGAATGGGGGGAGGGGGCGCAAACCACAGAGGCCATAGCAACCGGCTTCTGCGGGGCGCCCTGAAGCCCAGACACCCCCATCCTCTCTTTCATAGCCCCCTAGCTTGAGCCTCTCCTCCCAGCTTAAAAAGGCGACTTAGAGCTCGCCACTGTGGCCCCTTTCGGTTCCTACTCCCGTCTTCCCTGCCTTGGCTCCCCTTCCAGGAAGCAGCCACCCTTTTTCAGTCACCGAATTTCCTGGGAAGCCTCTCCCTGCAGCGCCCAGAGGTGGGGTTCAGCCCCGTCTTGGAGGCGGGGAGGAGGGAGACAAACCCAAGCCCCACCCCCTACAAAATCGATGCAAAAGAATAAGAAAAGAATTGTAGAATCTCCCTTACCTTTGCAGACCTTGGGATTTTTTTCCTCCGGTTGAAAGGAGTGGGGAGGAAGGGGGGAAAAAAAAAAGAGCGTTCGGTTTCGGCTTCATCTTCCAGATAATATTGTCCCAACCTGAGAGCCGTCGCTTCCCCTTCTCTGACTTGGGAGAAAGGGTGTTTCGATTTTCTGATATTTGAATAGAAAATGGAGTAAGTTCTGGCTTTGAAAAATGGTATCAGGCTGCGGTCCTGGGCAGATTGTCCATTTACCCTCCATGATGACTAAAATCCCAGATCAGCAAGCAAATTAACTTAGAAATTAAAATTATTTTTGGTTCTCTCTTTTGTGTAATTCTCACCCCTCCTTCCCTCCTCTCTTTCTCTCTCTCTTTTTTCCTCTCCCCCTCTCTCTCTTTTGCTTTATCGAGCTGATACTGAAGTATAAAAATATCAAGAGGCTGGAGCCCTGAAGGACGACAGTGCTCCGACCTAGGTGTGGTGTCCAAAAGAATGCTGCATTATA